GCCCGCCTCACCATGGCGGGGAGCAGCTCGCTGGAGGCTGTGCGCAGAAAGATCCGCAGCCTGCAGGAGCAGGCGGACACCGCGGAGGAGCGCGCGGGAAGCCTGCAGCGCGAGCTGGACCACGAGAGGAAGCTGAGGGAGACCGTAAGGGACCCACCTTGCCCCGTCGGCCCCCACCAGGAGGGGCTCCTCCTGATCGGCGGCCCCCAGCCCCAGGCCGACGTCGCTGCCCACCTGGCACACCTAGGCCAGCTGGCGCCTGCTCTAGGAAGGAGCCCTTCTCTTCCTCCTCCGTCCTCTTGTCCTTTCTGCTTGGCCGGTGTAAAGTTAGAGCTGCGAGGAGGAGCCAGGGAGATACTGCAGAGGTTCTGGAAGCAGTGCTTTCCCGGGAAGGGTTCCATCTCCCGGGTGATCGCAGTGGGTCGCCCACCTGACTGCGCTGCAGGCCTTCTTGCCTCTGAGTGTGGGGAGGGAGGTTGCTCCTTTTGGAGTTCCGTTCCTTTGGGGAGGGGTGCAAACAGGTCAAAGGTGTGAGGCACTGCCCAGGGGAACTTCAGGGGTTGGGGATGCTAAACTGGCGTCTTGGACCCTGTGGTTTCCTGAAGGCCCTTTCTCCTGGTAGTTAAGGCTGGTAGCTCTGGGTGCTAGGGAGGAGCTAACTTACATAGAATGCAGCCGTTACCCCACCCTTAACCAACCCTCTTCCTAAGTTCTCATACAAGAAAATTACTCTTCTGTTACCCCGGAGTGAAAAAACGTTGGCTAAATGTCCACGGTTATTGGGTGTATGCTCTTGCTGGCTTCCCCACCCCGTTGCTTAGTGTGACACCTGACTTCCTTCTGCTAAGGTAAATGTGTCCGGCAAACAGGAACAAGAATTCAAAGGGAGTTTAGGTATTGGGCATTTGTCAATTTTGAGTATGTTTTAAATCGGGATATTCAAACACCTAGGGAATTTTATGACAGGTGATGATGTGGTGTCCAGCTGTGCTTAGCATACTGTACCAAGTAAATCCTTTTGCTTTTGCTAAAGCATCTGTAATGGTTACGTAGCTGCCCACAGAAACTTCGAGGCCTAAGATACACAAACAAATGAGTCCTTTTCAGAGAAAGGCCTAACCAGGGGGAAGTTTTAGGTAAAATACAGGCAAGAATAAGATCAGTGAGCAAAAGATCACTTTCAGTAAGACCCCCTGTAGATGTCTGAACTTGGATAGGTGATGAATTTATTAGAACTCCCTCTCTGGCTGGTCGGCAGCTGTCCTTGAATGATTAAAGTCAGTAGAACACAAGGGCAAGAACTCTAGACCCAGATTATTAAAATTTGGTGAATCTTAGCTCTACTCATCACTAGCTGGAGACAGAGACTTAACCTCCTAATGCCTGGGTCCCCTAAGAGCAAAAAGGATAATAACAGTTATAATAGCTCCTACCTCCTGGTTACGGTTAGTGTGTGAGGAGGTTAAAGTTTATAGGCATAGCCAGGCTCAGGACAGCAGAGTTAGGGCTGTGTGTGTGTTCTCTGCTGGGCAACACTGCCTCCTGCAGCTCCTCCTCCAACTCCCCACCTAGCAAGAGCTCTTAATGCCCTGCTTGGTTCACAACATCCTAAAACTCTCCGTTGAATCAACAGTGTTTCTTCCTTTTCTTTTGGAACTTGAATGGAGGGAGAGGAAGTGGGCAGACTGAAAGGACTGTGGGGGTGTGAGGAGCATTAGTGATGGGAGTAGAACTCCCCTCACCCTGGTAAGAAAAGGAATTCTAGTCCTGTACACTGGAGCCTTGGGCAACTCCTAGCCTAACATTGATGCCCAAGAGACACATGATATGAAGGGCCACATCATTACTTTGATAATCACCTTTTCTTCTGTGCCTCGTTTTTCCAAACAGTGTTCCTTGGATAAGGTCAAAGCTTTCATTCTTTTCCAAACATTGTCAAAAGTAGTTTAAGTCATTCAGTTTTTTTCAATAGTAATAGTAATATTTTGAAAACATTCTGAGCACAGAACCTTGTAAAACAACATCTTGAAGACAGGGTAAGACTACTGAAGAGAATTAAAAGTTGCTGTTCCCTTCTAAAACTGGGACTTCAGTGTAGCTCATTAAGGTCATTTTTAAATCTAGTTTGGTGTGTAAGTTAAAGAACAGTAACAGTTTCTCTTGGCAGCGAAGTTAAAGGTTTAACGACAATGCAATGAACCACTGCAAAAAATATTTGAAGGTAGAGTTGGACAAAATTCAGATGTTCGGAGGTTCAGAAAGGCTGTCCTTTAAATGGCCCTGTTAAGCCAGCACTTACCTTGGAAAAGGCAGCCGCCCCTTATTTCCCCTTGATTTGTTTTTCCAAGGTGTGTGGGCCCTCCAGTGTTGGAACAAGGCTGCTTTGATGTAATGGTTGACTGAAGGTCTTGTGACCTAGAAGCGTTTTGTTTGTTTGTTGTCATTGAAAACAAAAAACGAAAAAAAAAACAAAAAACAGTCCTCTTCCTTCTTTTGGGTGGAACCCAGTGAACAAGGAGACTTACAGTGGCAGCCAGTAGCTGGTTCTTAATAGGTAACTTTATTAAATCATGGGAAGTAACTGGTTTTCAAGAATTTGTAGCCTCTTGCTCTTTATTTTGGAGGCCTGGAAACTGGGGGTGCATCCTGTGCCTTCTTTGGCTCCCCCAGAGTGGCTATTGGAACATCTTAGTTGGGATTTCCACTTTCGAATGTAGATATGGCAAGGGCTCCTCAGTGCCTTGATCATGTCTGCTGTCCCTTGTTAAACAGATGTGCCTCATAAAGGCTAGGCCTTGGCACAGATAGTGGAGGCTGTGTTTATCGGCTCTCCCAGGAGTGCCCCCTAATGTCATCAGTGTTTTTTCACCCTCCCTTTCCTTGCCATATAAGGGCAGAAGTTTAGTTTGGCCGTAGTCACCCGGTCTTACACAGCAAATTGAGTGACACCCTGTCCCTAACTGCAGTTTATGTGAAGTAAAAAGACGACCTTTGATCCTTTCATGCTGCGCTCTGTTTCAGGCAGGACCTTGCAAACATATTCCAGAGGATTGGTTTTAAGGCAATATTATGCCCCTGCCTATGTATCTTCTTAATTGCCTTAACTGGAATACTTTAAGTATTTTAAGTAAAAGCTGTTGCTGTTTTTAAGGGTTTTTTGGTGTTTTGTTTTTTTGGGTTAACACATCTGGATGTCATAAAACTCTTAGGTCTCATAAATTCTTTTTCTTTTCCAGATCCAATGCAGAGTAATATTTTGCTATATTGGGGTGGGCGTGCCAAGTTCTATGCAGTACGTTATTGGGGTGAGGGATGGGATTATGGCCAAGTTTTCTGTGTAGGCTTCTAATCCCTTGTTTGGGAAAAGGCTGGGAGTGCTAAGCACTGCCATGACTTGGGTGTCAGTGGCTAGTAGCAGGGGTGGGGACAGCATACATCCTAAGGTTGGGAATGCAGGGTGGTGGTTTGTGCATGGGTCTGTAGGAGGGCGTCAGCAAGTAGCCTTACTAGTGCAGCAGTCTCTAAGTAGATCATTCCACTTTGGGACACCATAGCACTTCTGAAATGTAAGAAAGTAGCATCCCAAACTGAAAGACCCCGGTGGGCAGTATTGACACAATGGCCCTTGGTAGAAGATTGCTAACTCAGTGTGTAAAGAGTGATTTATATTCCTGGAAATCATTTTCTTCTGAGTTCTCGACCCTCCACAAGTGCTTTGTTGTCTGTATCTGCCTTTAAATAACAGGTGGCCACGTGGTTGTGTGCTTGGACTGAAGGGTGGCAGCAGGCCTTCTGATTACCATGGTGGTATGATGAGAAGAGCCTTAGAAAACACCCTAGAGCAGCTTCCAAAGTGAGAAACAACATCCAGAAATAAAGCTAGTAAAGATGCCTTAGGAACAGAGGGCACAATAAATCGGGGGAAGAGGGTAAAATGGAAAGAACATGCCTTGATTAAATTATGAAATTAAACTTCTGGAATTCAAAGGAACTGAACAGAATGTCTGTTAGACCAGTCTAGCGGGGCCCAGGGAGCCGGCAGAGTTAGGGCGGCCCCAGGGGAGCTCTGGTGATGATAGAGGAGCCTCAGGCCCTGCTCTGAATCTTGGGCAGGTCAGCATTGAGTTCTGGACTAGAGAGCAAACACCCCACGTCCTTAATGTGAGCGAGCTGTTCCTTCTTAGTGTTTGTTTTCCATTTTATACCCTCCTTTATTTCAAAAAGGTTCGAGATGAAAGACTTGTTTAGTGGCCGATGTTCTAGAGCAAACTGTCCTCCTGCTCAGGGCCTCTGCGCAGGCCCTTCTTGGGGTACAGTGGGAGCCAGTGGTGGAGAACTACTCTGATGTGAGACAGGAGAGAGACTCCAGGATGACAGCCACCAATCCTAAGGCTTCCCTGATGTTTGGGACATCAGCAGGAAAGTGGCAAGAGCTGGCACCCAGGGCGCCAGGGCACATGTTGCATGCTGGGTCACAGACCCCTCCCTCCACTGAGTTTTAGCAGAGAGTAGGATGAGCTGCCTCTCAGTACTGAGCACCTCCAGGAGTGGCGGTGGAGGACTGGAGGGGCCGAGGGCAGCCTGTTTATACCAGATTCCTGCCCTCCCCTCTGATCTCCTGAATCAGAATCTCCAGGGACAGGGCCTAGAAGCTTGTGTTTTTAATACATACTGCCTGCTTGATTCTGAAGCTCAGCCAGAGGCTCTTCCATTTTAAAAAAAAGAGACCCTGTTTTGCAGACTTACAGTGGCTCCTTGGGAAAGGCAGCTCCTCTCTGTGTACCAGGCCTGACTTGGTCCCCCAGTCTGCATTCCCAGTTTTTCCATGGGTGCTCAGTAGGTGCCCTGTCGGCCATTACTTTTCAAGGAAATAAAATCATGATGTCAGAGAGTTCAGAGTTTTACAGAACCTCCTGAAGGAGCCAGGCGTGGTGGTGCATGCCTTTCATCCCAGCACTCAGGAGGCTGAGGCAGGAGGATCGCTGCGAGTTCGAGACCAGCCTGGGCTACACAGTTAGTTCCAGGTCAGTCTCAACTACATAGTGAGACCCTGTCTCAAAAAAATGCTCCTGAAGGAAGATAAATGCCATATGCAAAACAGCGTTTGGCAGAGTGGTGCCAAGAATTAAGGGGAAAATGGTTAAAGGCAGTGAGGGCAGTGAGAAGCTCAGGTGGATTGATTGGGGTGAGCAGAGGCGGGAATGAACAAAGAAAGCCACCTGCTTGCTGTGTGGGGGTCTGGAGACATAGGCTCGGCTGTGGCCCGGAAGTTTCTTTCTCTAGAGCATACACAGCCCTCCTCCTGTACAAAATCCTTGAGGTTTGGGCTCATGTCTAAAATGGAGCAAGGAATTTGGAAACTGTTGGGTACAGAAGTGTTTTGAAAATTTTGTCACCATTTGTCTGATAGCTCATAGCATTTATAATGTTATAAAAATAAAGGAGGGAAAGTACTTCTGAATACAAGACTAAGGTGCTGAAGAAGTTTGTTTATTCTTCATTTTTGTTTCAGCTTTCGGGATTGCTTGCTTATCCCCTACCCCAGTAATGGCAAACCTTTTAGAGCTTTCAAAGATACAAAGAGCCCTCTGCAGCACGAGGGCCATAGGGCATACCACTGACCTTCCCTCCTTCATAAAAGGAGTAGAACTTAACTAGAAATGGAAAACACAGAAAAGTGAGGATAGCGTGCCTGAACCAGAGTGTCCCTTTCATGTATTCACCTTTGTAGTTTTGCTTTTGAACAGGGCTGAAGATTTTTACAAGGCAGTTTCCTGCATGTAAGAAATTTGTTATCCTGTAACCTTCACCCTTTCAGAAAAACAAGTCCAAACCAATGGTTCCCTGCCGGGTGTTCCTAGCTAGGCCCAGTTACTAGCTGTCTAGGGAGAATGGTTGACTTTTAGGGCTGTTCAGGCAATGGTTCATCAGCAAACACTGCGCCTTGGATCCCTTTCACCTTTGCAGGTCTCCCTGCCTCCATCAGCCAGTTGCTACATAGTTGTTTTGTAGAGATAAAAGTGTATATAAGTGTCTTTTATATCTTTCACCCCTCTTCCCATTATAAAATTTGGCATTTAAAATCTTAGCAATCCAGAGGAGCACAGAACTGAATGTTTTCCTTTTCCTTTAATTCGAGGCCATGACTACAACCTTTCTCTGTGTGCATTGTAGTTTGTGTCATGGGTCCATGAACTAAGAAAATTATTTCTATTTACATTAGATTGCTTTCGCTTACTCGGTAGAGTAGACATTTATTGGGCCTGTGCTCTGCAGAAAACTGATTTTCTGAATGTCAACGGCTTCCAGTTGAGTAAAGAAGACAGAGATGTATGTAGAGAACTATTGTGGATCTCCAAGTGTGTACTGTGATGTTTTGAAAGCTCCCAAATGTCCTGAAAATCCATCACCCCTTGATAAGCACACATCCAAGCGATGAGGACAAGTAAAAGGTACCTAATCAGTAAATTCCATCCCTTTGAGTGCCAGAGTGGTGTTGCAGTATTCTCAGATACATAGTAAGAGATGCTTATGAAGGGAAGAAGTCATTGTATTTCCAAGAAAGAAACATTTTGTTTCAATTAAAACCAGGCTCAGTAACTTTTCTCCTTAGGAGTTTAGTGCATTTCTGGTAGCAGCCTTGACTTAAAAGACATTTCAGTAGACTTCAGTCAGACACACTTGGGAAATGTGTCCTGGCCTTGTTCCAATGTGACCAGTTACTCCAAAGAGTTCACTGAAAAGGCAGGACAGGGGCTGGGGGTGTCTGGGATTGTACTGACTCTCCGTATGGTATGTATTTTTAAAACCACTGAATTTTAAACTACTCCGTTCCTTTATAAATGAGACAGTGGCTCAGAGAAGGAGTTGAATGACAACTCCAGGTCCCGAGTTGTGACTGTACTGCTGTGGTCGCAGGTGGCTGAGCCTGGGTAAGTCCTGTTGTCTGCACATCTCAGGCTCCTTGGTGAGCGGGTGGCTGTGAGATAGGTCTCCTTCAACAGGCCGGTACAGGGCATTGGAGTCTGGGAGAAGGGAGCCATGACGGTTGTTTGCTCATGGTCCATCTGTCCAGTGAGAGTTGCTTGCCTAAGTTTATAAGCATGTTATTCGCTGTGTAAATCAGCCCGCTCATTCTGGCCTTGAGTAGTGCTTATAACGGCTTAAAGGTAGCTCACCACGAGGCCCAGACGTGCTGTCTGAGGTGCCCCCTTCACTTCTCTCCAGCTCTGAGGTGCCTGTCGTTCTCTCTGCCTAGGCTGAAGCCGACGTGGCTTCTCTGAACAGACGCATCCAGCTGGTTGAGGAGGAGCTGGACCGTGCTCAGGAGCGTCTGGCCACGGCTTTGCAGAAGCTGGAGGAGGCCGAGAAGGCAGCAGATGAGAGTGAGAGGTGAGGCCGCCTTGCCCAGCCCTCGAAGCTCGAGCCTCCCATCCTGGCTCGGTGAAAGGAGGTTTGAGAATTTCCCAGCCCTCAGCGGGGTCATCTCCTCCGCTAATCCCGTGTATCGTTTGCTTAGTGTTGAGTGTTTAACAGCAGAGCACCTTCTGTATTCAAACCACAGTACTAAGCCCCAGAGTTACACGGAAGAGAAAGCTCCTGCACCAACAGAGCTCACCGCCAACAAGACAGACAGGCACGGAAACAAGAAGATCTAGGCCTCCTCGGTGATTCTTTCATTCCTTCTGACCCGAAGAGGAATTGTGCTTTAACAATAATAATAATGATAATAACTTTATTTAAAAACAGGCCTTGGAACTGTGGGCTGTCATTTGTCATATAAATGTAGAGGGGACTTAGAACAGAGGTTCTGCAGAAGTAAATTGTTTTGGACTGGGACGTATACAGGTAAGACACATGTACATATACTAATACCGTCAAGTGCTGCGTGTCTACTGAGACTTGGCTCCACCAGACTGAGCTTCACAGTAGTAAAGGGAAACCATGGTCTGGCAGCTCTCATGTAGTGAGCTCAGCTCTTGAAGCTGCTGTTTCTGTAACGTATTAGAAGCAACCAGAAAGACTCCCTGAGACGAGAGAGGGACAGCATAGCAAGCCGGGGCTCAGAACACTGCGCGTGGATCAGCGCGAGCTGTGATCTGGGCAGGTGAATGCAGTCGGTCATTTAAAGAGTGGCTTTAGGGGCCAGGGACGTAAGTCAGTGGCGCTGAGCCTGTCTCACAAGAACAAGATCCTGAATTGGATCCCTGGTACCGACAAAAAAAAAAAAGTGGCTTCGGATTTTAGGATTAAAGAAACTTTTTAATTAGAGTTTTCAGCTCATTCCTAACTGCTGCTTAGCCTTTCTTCACTAACCAAGTGTATTAGGCTTAAGACGATCTCTCTTACATTATCTCCATAATTGTTATGGCCAACTTTTTCCTTGAGTATTTCTGTTAAGTGAGCCCTAAAAACAGTCTTATAACATTAGATGGTGAGATAGATATCCCTTCCTGAAATATTTCTGTTTCATGAACCTTAAAAGCAGTCTCATAACAGTAGACTGTAAGGTAATCATTTGTTTCAGTCTCTTGGTTTCACAAGTGAGAAATCTGGAGCTTAGAGACTGACATCTCCTGCCCATAGGCCGACAGTATGTTTGTAGTTGGGCCAAGAATAGGACTCTGGTCTCCTCAAATAAGTTCTAGCACCTTATCAAGAATGACTAGGGCCAAGGATTTAATTTATAGCTCAGTGGTTCTGCCATCTGCCTCGCAAGTGCAAGGTCCTGAGTTTGATCCCCCGTACAAAAAAAAATAATAATAATTGGGTTGATTCAAGATTTCATTTCCTTTATTTTTTTATAGCAAAGCATTGGTACATTTTAGGTATTCATACCAATAACACTTATCATAGGGATTTGCATTCCCCTCAAGCACCCGCTCCTCCCTATGTACAAAAGCTTTATTTCCATTTTTTTCTGTTTTCTCTTTTTTTCTTATCCATTTCTTTCTTTCTCCCTTGCTGCTCCCTGGTTCCCGTTCCCATTTGAATATTTTCTTCCCATTTCCCAATATCTATTACACATTTTAGTGCTTATTTCCACTTTTGGTTTCTCACACCATAGAAAGAATGCAGTATGTAAATATGCGTATCAAATTTATTTCACTTAAAAGTATGGTCTCAAGGTGCATCCATTTAGCTATAAATGCCTGATGCTCATCCTTCTTTCTCACAGAGTAATACTCCATTATATAAAAAAATTTTCTTTACTTCCTTGTCAGTTGATAGGCATTTGGGCTGTTTCCAAGATTTTAGCTATTACAAACTATACCGCTATAAACATGGATGTGCATCTATCACTGTGGCATGATGCTTTTAATTCTTTCAGGAAGCTACCAAGAGGAATAGCTGGGTCAAATCAAACCTCTAGTTTATTTTGAGAAATCTCCACACTGATTTCCATGGTGGTTGCACCAGTCTACGCTCCAGTAGCAGTGGAGAAGGGTTCCTTTCTCCCCAGAGCTCTGCCAGCTTTTGTTACTGGTTCGTTTCTTTTTTGTTTTTTTGTGTGGGGGGGTTGTTTGTTTTGTTTTGTTTCATTTTTTTTGGCAGTACCTAGGATTAAAATGAAGACTTTGCATGTATGAGACAGGTGTGGTGCCACTGAGCTAAAGCCCTGGTCCTACTGGTGGATTTCTTTTTTTTTTTTTTGGTACTGGGGATTGATCTCAGGACCTTCTACTTGTGTATTGGTGGATTTCTTGATAGCAGCCGTTCTTTCTGGAGTAAGATCAATAAATATAATACATGATATTAACAGAGCCAAGGGAAAAAAATGTATGATCCTCTCAAATAGTTACAGAAAAAGTGTTTGATAAGGTCCAACACCCATTCATGTTAAAAACCCTACAGAAAATCTGATAAAAGCAGTCCATAACAAACCAAGATGTTGTTTTAACATGACTTGTTAGTCCATAAATCTGTAAAAAGTCACAGATGAATTAACATTTTTATGGAATGTAACATTGTGCTCTAGGACCCATTGTTCCCGAGTGTAAACGACAGCGTTGTTCCTATCACCCAACACCTCTCTTCAGAGAGGATTTGACTACAGGCAAAACTTGGTTTCTTAGCTAAAGAGCTCAGTTGAATCTGTGCGTTCATTTTTACAGGTCTGAAATGGTCGGTACCAGCAGTTTACTGTGGGCTGGTAATAGTATTTTTGCTTGTACTCTGTGGGGAAAGATGCTTCTTTGTAGAAAGAAGTAAATAAAGATAAATTTGCTTTTGTTCTAGCTTTGCTCCATTTTGAAGCTGAGGCATCTTCCCTCAGGAAATTCCCAATGCCATTATGTGTTTAACAAATGAAGTGTATCAGCCTTCTGTGTCTCCATGCCTCCCAGATTCAAACAGGCCCCTGACCTTGTACCTTTCATTTAACATTAGTGCCTGGACAGTTTCACCAGTACCCAGAGTGTGAGGTTTCATTCAAAATGAACAGAAAGAAATTTGTATCTTACTTCTGCCTTTAGCTCTGGAAAGTCTTGCTTCATCATTTGGAAAATAAAAGTAGCTCTGTGCTCTTCTGGTCTGCCGTGTGCTGTGAGCCTCACAGACTGCAGCAGTGTGGTGTGTTTGGGGCGGTCACCTCTAAATTTGGGTTTTCCTGCCTGTGTTTCTTTTCCAGAGGCATGAAAGTCATTGAAAGCCGAGCCCAGAAAGATGAAGAAAAGATGGAAATTCAAGAGATCCAACTGAAAGAGGCCAAGCACATTGCTGAAGATGCCGACCGCAAGTATGAAGAGGTCAGATTCTGGGGCCCAGCACCTCAGAGACTCCCAGCAGTGGCCTTTGGGGAGCAGTATTACAGCCTTGATTCCTGGGTGAAGCAATCTGCTTCCTTGGTAGAAATGAGTGGTTTTGAGATGCAGAATCCCTTTGGCTCCAGAACATGGTTCTCCGTTTGATCCTGCTGGAGACCCCAGGCTTTTTATCCTGAAGCTAATCAACAGCACTGGGGAGAAGGATCAAGGCTCCCCCACCCAAAAAGACCAGCAGGAAAGAGAGCATTGGACCCTTGGGAAAGGAGGTTCATGCGGTCGTCCTTCACTGGGAGGGCCACACAGCTACACAGTGGGTTCGTGGAGGCCTTCCCTCCAGGGTGGCAGAAACCCACGTCAACACAGCTGCTCGGGTGGATCAGTTCCTGCTCAGGTCCACACAAAAACCATCGGGAGCTAGATGTGGTGTTCCAAGCCTGTTATTCTAGCTACTCGGGAAGCTGAGGCAGGAGGATTACAAGTTCAAGGCCAACCTGGGCAAATCAGCACAACTTTGTTCCCAAATTTAAGAGGGGGCTAGAAATGTAGCTCAGAGGTAGAGTGCCATTGTTACTGCAGTACCATAGAAGAGAAAGCCACCGGTGACAGCAGATCTGACGTGACTACCGAAGTTTTAGTTTTTTCTTTTTTGTACCATGTCAGGGCTTCCCACCCACCCCCTTTTACTATCTCCAGATTTTGTTCCCACTAACTTAGAACTGCTTCCGAGGATCCCTTACTCTCTCGGGTCCTTTCTTCCACTGAAGCCATGGTTGACAGTTAGTCCTTTCACCACCTGACCACAATTAGCTTCTCCTGTCCCCTTATCGGCTTCCACAAGAAGGTCGCTGGTGTGCAAGAGGTCTTGGGTTTCTTTTCAGTGGGGTTGTTTTTGTTTTGTTTTGTGTTTTTTGGCCAGTCCCGACCTTTTCAGTATGAAATGTGTCTTGTCTCATCCTGCTAGGTTTGAGAATGCAGTTGTCATGTCTGCCTCATTCCATTCTTTGGCAGCTGTGTAATTATACACACTGAAGCTGTCAGATGCCTGAGACCCTGCACCGTAGCTGACCATTCTGGGTCTTGTAGGTGAAGCCTGTGGTCTCCTCCCACCGGCACCCCTGAGGGGGTGTCTGCCTGGATGCAGAGTGTCTGTTTGTAGGTGGAAATCTTGGGGGCTGGTGGCACCTGATCCCCTCCCTAAAGCCTCCTGTACAAAGCACACAAGCCCCACAGGGTCCGTGTCCTTGCTTTTCCCGCTGCAGGTGGCCCGAAAGCTGGTCATCATTGAGAGCGACCTGGAACGCGCAGAGGAGAGGGCTGAGCTCTCGGAAGGGTAAGTAGGCTGGCGACAGGAGGCCACGTGTGGGGTGCTGCAGAGCAGTGACTAAACAGCATGACCATTTGGCAGCTGCACATTTACCTGTCTCGGCTCCGGGCTCCTCTTGTGCTCATTTGTTGCGGATGAGCTGCAAGTACGGAACACAGAGACTCGTGTGGGGTGTCTGTGCGTGAATGCGTGTGTCACTGCATGCCTTACCTGCACACTGATTTTGTGAATGGCCTTGTGCATTTCCTGTGTCCACTAACAGCCAAGTTCGACAGCTGGAAGAACAATTAAGAATTATGGATCAGACCTTGAAAGCATTAATGGCTGCAGAGGATAAGGTACTGATGGCTCACGTGTGGTTTTAGGTTTAACCGCAACCCAGGCATCTCTCAGCTTCCAGTGCCTACTGGTTGGTTTGGTGTAACGACTGCACCTTCACTACACCCTCGGCTGTCTATATCTTGCTTCAAGTGCCTTCTCTCGGTCCTTTATGCTCCTTTGTTTTCCCTTCATAAGTGCTCTCTGGGGTGGCCGAATAAGAAGCCAAATTATCACTCTTCAGCAAGGTTGGATTTTGTCAACCTGTCTTTCCGCTGTCACAAGGCTGGAGGGCAGTGTCCACAGTGAAACCGACATTTCCAGAACTGATGGTTTGGCTACTTTAAGGCAGCCCTTCATCTTCAGGACTTGGTTCTCACTTTTTCCCATCCTCCTTTCTCTCCTCCTTCCTTTTGGCTTGTCTCCCACCCTTTCTGCCTCTGATCGAAAACGTTAGCAAATGTGCCGAACTTGAAGAAGAATTGAAAACTGTGACGAACAACTTGAAGTCACTGGAGGCTCAGGCTGAGAAGGTAGGCCCGGAGCACAGCGTGGGGAAGTCACCTTCTAAGGCCTACTTGAAAGAGGCCATGCTGACTTAGCGGCACAGTAGGCATTTGAGGAAAGGGCTGCATTTGGAGATGCCTTCCTGATGATGGCTGGATAACGGTTTTTAAATTTTTAAAATAGAGAATGTATTTTATGTTGGGTATGTGAGTTGCTAATTTAATCTCAACCGAGTGCCAAGGGGATAAGTTATCTCGTTCTTAACCCGTGTAAAACAATAGGCAAGAAAGCAGAGAATGCATAGTCATTGTCATTTGATACCAGAGGCTCTGTTACTCCTAGGAGAGCCTTAACATCTGTTGGTGGAGCTGGCAGGTTCTTTTATATTAGAAGGTGTGCGGATCATGAGCCACAGCCTGACCCCTGGAATGCTTTTTCTAATTACAGTACTCACAGAAGGAAGACAAATACGAGGAAGAGATCAAGGTCCTTTCTGACAAACTGAAGGAGGTAATCTTACGAGCATTTTAGATGAAGCAAACTTAACTTTAATTAAATGTTTGTCCTGGAGCTAGCCAGGGCTCTGTCATTTTAAAGTCACTAACCCAAAGTCAAGGCTCTTCTGAGACAGTCCAGGACTAAATATGCTGTTAGCTGCCCTTGCTGACAGTAGCGACCAGACTGACAGGTCATTTCAGTCCCATAGCATGGGCAACCTGCTTGAGTTTCATCCTCTAGCTTTTCCTGTTGTTTAAATTTTTATTTTTAATGCTGGCCGGGGGGATACTGGGAATCGAACTCAGGGCCTCGCACTTGCCAGTCAGGTGCTCTGTGCCACATTCCCGGCCCCTTTCCCCTATCATAGCTTTTGGAACTGTGAAACTTCCCATTTTTGACTCAAATAAATTAAATCATTGCAGGCTGAGACTCGGGCTGAGTTTGCAGAGAGGTCGGTAACTAAATTGGAGAAAAGCATTGATGACTTAGAAGGTAAGATCTTAAATTTAATTCAGTCACGGTAGTTGAATACTGACCTGGAGAAACGATCATCCAATCCCAGTGCATCCACCTCAGCAAACATCTGCTCTCTCGCACTCTCTTCCCGACTGTCCTTTGGGGTTTTCACCTGCGGCTCTTAAACTCTTGGACCTGAGACCTCAGTTCGTGATGTGACTGGTCGGCCACCAGACAGCACTCGTCTCTATAATGACAAATGCCACTCAGCTTTCACGCAAGTTCTTGGCATTGTGGCAGGGTTGTTTTTCATTGTGAGCAAGGTGCTTCCTTACAGAAGAGAGTGGCTGTGGCATATTGTGTGTCTTTAGCAGAACCTTCTTTCTGTCAGAATGATGTAGATTTACTTTAGACAGCCTGTCTTCTTCCAGGGGTGAATTCAGTGGAACTGCTTGGGGTTTTTTAAGTCCTCCATGAATAAAACTGTACCCTAAAAGGTTGGGGGATAGGAATCAATGGGGATTGTAGTTTGAGATTATGTTCACAGATCTCTCCCCTAAAGCATTTGGGTTTTATTTTTCCACTCTTTCTCACAGAAATCCTAAATTGTGAGCTCTGAGGCCTGTGAAGGGTTAGCTAGGGCAAAGAAAAACAAAATATGTATCGTAGGCAGAAGGGACTGGAGGTTGTATGGATTGTAACTGACATAGCAGGGAAAAGAGAATGACAGTCTGCCCATGTGCAGCAAAGTATGTAACCTGCATCATTAGAAAATACATTGCAAGGACTGGGGGTTTAGCTCAGTGGTTCTGCCACGTGACTTGCAAGTGCAAGGACCCAAGTTCAATCCCTGGTACCAAAAAAAAAAAAAGAAAGAAAGAAAATATGTTGGATGCCTCACCACCTCCACCATAAAAAGTGTGACTGTTTTTCATGGTGCCTGGGCCAGGAACATGCAGTCTGCGTAAGACCACAGGCATCGTTAAAATGACGCTAAAAAAATGGATATCTCAGTGGTGTAGTTTGGTCAGGAAGTGAGCAGTTTGAAAGTGGGGCTGGATAAGGATTACAGGCTATAACCGCAAATTGCCCTTCCAAAGCATTGCCAGTAGGTATTTTTCTATTGTAGCTGCAGGTAGCTGACTGCTCTGCCATAATTAAAATACAGCTCTGTAAAAAGAAAGACGTTCCATTACGTACCAGGAAAGACAGCCTTCTGTAGTTTTGTTGAGGATTTAACGTGGTTTACTGGTGTACCTACCATATTTGCTATGATTTTCATATTGAGTCTTTCACATTTTATTTTCTAATGGGTTTTGTTCTCTTTGTTTTTGTTTCAATGTATTTAAAATCAAAACGCACGCCTCCTGCACGGGCCACCTGCCGCGGCACCAACCCCTCCATGCATTGCCCTTTCTTTGCTGCTGGGTCGGGATGGCGCCTGGGCCGCCCCACTCACCCTCCATCTCTTGGTCGCTGTCCATGTCCTTGCACCTCTGCCTTCCACTTCCTGGTCCTAGACGAGCTGTATGCTCAGAAACTGAAGTACAAGGCCATCAGCGAAGAGCTGGACCACGCTCTCAACGATATGACTTCCATGTAAATGTCCATGCACCCTGCCTGCTTGCACCCACACCCTTGTGCTTTTGTGATGAACTCACCACCCCTTTGCTCTCCGCGCTCGCCATCCTGGTGCCTTTCTGTTTTCTGTTTGCATTACCTAGGATAGTTGTTTTTTTCACACTGTACCTAATATAAAGGCCAACCTAGACTAAATGTATAAACATTTTCCTTTCAGAATTCTTTAATATTTCCTAAATGCTGAACTAGATTGCTCCCACTGAGCAATGAACTACAGTATGAATGACCTTGAGCCCTATTCTTTTAAGGAATTAAGACTCTGGTAAAACTAGAAGGCTGTGCAGTAGTGTAGGAACTTCTCAGGCATCAAAATTGGTCTCTGAAGCACAATATGATCCTTTTTATAAAAGAAAGGTAAATTGAAGGAAACCTAAATTATTAGCTGATTGAGGAGGTGAGAAAAAGGAAGTCCGCATGACCGAGCATAACCTAGAAAACAGTTCCATAAGTGGTCATGTCTTCCTCACTTGCAAGAATTCTGCAGGTAAGGGAGCACTCTGCCGAGTAAGCCAGCCTTCAGTTGTCCATGTCTGTATCACAAGGAATTACAATGCTCACAGTAAACATTTTGGCCAGTGAACGTGACATCTACCCTGTGAATTTGGGTGTTAACAGCCCAGACTGTCGTACGAGGCAGTCACAGCAGCAGCTGGTCTCATTGTTCTCATGAGAAGACTGTTACTCATGCGCAAATACTGTCTGTATTCCTAACCAAACGTGGGCCCTCCTTTAATTCTAGTCACCCTGGGTTCGAAACTAAACTGGATTCACACTAAAGCTAGAGGTGCCTCTTTCTGCTTTTTACCCGTGCGGAAAAATGGTGGCTTCAAGCCTGTGGCATTGTGGCTGCTGCTTCAGAGGTTATAGTGTCGCCACGGGAACTAGAGAGCAGGTGTTCATTTGTAAATGAGGGGAGGTTCCCAACATCTGTCTCTGCTGTCCTCCCAGTGCTAAAATAGGATGCATTTGTGTGGAGAATGAAATTTCCACATCCTAACAGTGAGGTTCAGATCCACATTTTAAATTGTGCTTATGCGTCTTCCTTGAATTTGGCCGATGATAACCTCCCGGGCACAGACGCTGGTGGCTGTGTGTCTGTGCCCAAGGATGGACCTTCCCAAGGGCGCGGCTGGCTGTGGGTTTTGCATGACTGTGGCCTGCCTGGATATTGTGTGCTGCTTTCATCTCTTAGTTTGGTTTTCCTTTTTTCCATTGTGCCACTTTTTTTTTCTTTATCTCCAACCTTTTGTTTTCACACAGATAAGTTTCTTTGCCTCACTTCTCCCAAGACTCCTTCATCAAGCTGGATGTCCCGCCTCTCTGACCTCTGCATTTGTCTCTTCTCCAGCTGCTCCTGGTTCTTTCCTTTAGCACACGCCTTAGGGCCAGGCACATGCTGTGCTTTCTATTGTATAGTTGTTTCCGGTGTAAAATAAACACTGTAAGCTGTTTCTGTTTGCTATTCTTTTTACCTCTTATTTATTGATGTTTTCATTTCACCACTGAATAAAAGCACAGTTCTGCTTCATGCATATCAAGGTTAATTTTGGGCTGCTGCTTTTTTTTTCTTCTTTTTTCATTCTGAGCATCATACATTTAATGTCAAGGTTTTGAATGCGTTAGTTCCTCCTAGAACTTTTAAAAATAATGCCCATGCCTGCATCCCTCTAAGAGTTCTGGTTTCCAGAAGCTATAAGGAGGCCTACACAGGCATCTGTGGTTTTAGGAATCGTGAAGGCTCCAGTGGGCCCAGGGGCAGGGCTTGCTGGGAACCAGAATGTGGCTGAGCAGTGTGTCTTCCTTTGCCGAGGTTTATATTGGGCTGTGTTGCTGTGTAGAGGACGTGGCTCATGAGGGAGGACCACACAGCTGTCCACAGGGCTGGGAATTTATATATTAGAAAAGGTGAAAAAGTTGGATTCAGACAGTGCAGTTGGTGGTTATTGTTCGTCATTCTTTTATAGCACAAAGATGAGTTCAAGCTTTTTTTTTTTTTTAAGTACATTCATTACTTAGACACCTACATGTTGGTCATGAAAATGATCCCTTAGGTTTTCTAAATGTAATGGCTATTTTGGGTCATGGTATATTTCTGTGCTCTTAAAGGATTACCATGTATTCTTTAGGAAGGATTATGTTTACTAGGTGGTCTTTCCTCTTATTTATGGGCTTTTGAAAAATACAGCCATTACTGTTGATTCTTCCGCACCACCACCAATAATAATTTTGGTGGAAATTATTCAGTATACAGTTGCTTTGTTTGATCTTCATTATTGTACTTCTCAACAGCCAAGTGAGTAATTTTTTAACTGCGGAATTAGATGGAACATCAAGATCACCAGTATTTCTCCTTCATAAACAGTCTGGCTCTACTTCTTCTGTATTTTAAATGTGAGAATCCCTATCTTCTTGGGGTATGGTGTGTGCTTACCCAGAAAGGCTGATACATCATTATACTCCATGTGGAGGAACTGAATGTAGTGTCAGTCTACAGAGTCTTTAACAGCAGACAAAAAATACTTTTTTAAAAGAAGGCTGTGAATTAAAGACTTTTAGTCATACTGTGATAGGCTTTTTAAGATGTAGAAGCTGGGTAATGTGTCTCCCTTGATAACTATGAATTTACAGAAGGCTTTGTAGTCTTTTCCTCGGGGCCCTCAGGCCTGCTTTGACCACGATTCCTGCCTTGTTCCTTTTTAAATTCAGAGCAATGGAAGTGACCCCTTCTCTAAGTAATCCTGCCCCAGACAGGATGACAACTCTGAAAGTTCTGCCGAACAGATGTTAAGTGTGGAGGTGCAGTTGTTTCTGGGACTCGTTCCAGCGACTGCACATACTCTCTCTACATATCCTGTCTAAAGAAAATCATCATGGCAAGTGTCGAGGAACCTCAGGAGGATGAACAGCAAGTTGAGTTTATCAAGAAATTGTTGCAAAAAAAAAAAAAAAGAAAAGAAATATTGGGGCTAGGGATTTAGCTCAGTGGTTCCAGCGCCTGCCTTGCAAGCACAAGGACCCAAGTTCGATCCCCAGCACCAAAAAAAAAGAAATTGTTGGAGTTGAGGCTTCTAGTCTGGAGAACCAAGCCATAGCTTTAGCTGCTGCCAAGAGGCTCAGTTGGATCAAACCAGAAACGTTGCTGATCCTGGGCCCCAGAGACATCTGGGATTCTGTGTAGAACAAGAGGGAAGCACTTCCAAGGACACACAGGAACACCTAGGCACACTAGCTCACCGATAGCGGGCCCAGAGAAGGCTGAGGTAGGGACTGCTGCCACTTGTAAGCTGAATTAACACTAGCTCTGTAGGATTCTCCAAAGCTCTCCACTTCCTTCTGGGGCAGACAGACATCTGCCTACCCGTAGTGGCTTTTTCCCGGGACAGTAATGTAACTGGAGGACCAGGGTTCAAGCTTTACAACCCGCCGACAAAGGCAACATGAAAGATACCAGGAGGCAGCAGGGCATAGATGCTCCAGAAGACTCTGCCCCTCATGAGCTGGGAAAAGATGAGTGAAGTGATTTTGAACTGGTAGACCCTGCAGTTTGAGCCAACAGGGAATGGGAACTGATCGGGACTGGGAGCCACCTGGAGCAGCTGACAGTGACAAATCCATGGAACAAATTCTGTCACCAGAATCATGGGAAGAGTTAAGTTTATGACTCAAGGTACCACTATATTCAGAAAATGTGGGTGACAAAAAAGGCAGCAGATGTTGAGCATAGCGTGTCGTAGTGAATTAACAAACGCAATGAACATAAAACACCTTCCCCATGTACTGTTTAAGAGAGAAGGTTCACGGGAGAACAGCTCAGTTTTCCAACAGGGCTGGGGCTGTCAGTAGCCTGATTCCCCAGGTGGTAGGATTTTTTAGCCTTCCCAGATCGCCCGGGTCAGGCGATTCATTGCCATTAGAAGCAGCCGTGCACCCCAGCTGGTCTTGGTACCAGCCTCTTGCTTGTCACTAGATGTCCTGTGGATTTTCATGTGTAGACTGAGACTTGGGGTTGGCTTCCTTGTAATTTGAGCAGATTGCATGTCAGTATGGTAAATTTGTCATGCTGGTCTTAGTGTGCAGTTTTTGAGGTTTTGTTCATTGTAGGCACCTCCATGAGTACCAAACGTGAATACCACCCTCTTGAAGTAAACAGATAAATTCCAAATCAGTGTGGGTAGAGATAAGTGCTTGTTCTTTTGCTTCTTGGATCAGGTAACACACTGTCAAAGTTGGACGAGCATCCAGAATCTGCCTTGGTTCCTGGTGATTGGGGGAAGGGACAGGAAGCTCAGTTGTTCTGAAAAATTTCTGTGTCAGAAACAGAATTGCCTTGGTTCCTGGTGATTGGGGGAAGGGACAGGAAGCTCAGTTGTTTGTTCTGAAAAATTTCTGTGTCACAGAAGCAGTAGTACCCAGTTGGTACCTGGGTGGGAAGCCAGCACTGTGAGCACAGAGGAAGGGTCTCTGGGCAGGTGGGAAGAGATGGAAGGTCCAAGGCTCCCCTAGGATGCTGTAAGCCCTAGCAGGAGTGGCTGACGTGTCTGCTCACCCACCGGCCTGGCCTCTCTTCCCAGATCTGTTGCCCAGAACCGCACATACATATGACTTAGCTCACAGGGTGGTTTTTAGTGAGGTACTGGAGGAACATTCACTCTTTCTCCTCCTATCCTGTGCCTCTGTTTCTGTTGCCATCAAGAGTGGAATTCTGACACTTCCTTATTCAGCCGGGCCCTTTACCGTCTGTCCATGTGCAGGGTGCAGGACAGATGGCCGTGGGGTAAAGGTAGAACACTTGGCACATGGCCACTTGCTGTCCCGCCCGAGGTTCATCTCTGTGTTCTCTGTCCACTGCCTCTCACCGTGTCTGGCTAACCTCTCTTCCTTCTGCCTCCTCTCCTCTGCTAACACGCTTGCTGACCGGTACAGATCAACTCTACCAGCAACTTGAGCAAAACCGACGCCTAACTAATGAACTAAAGCTGGCTCTGAATGAGGATTAAAGCTTAAATGTGAGAACACTAGGGCTGAGTTCTAGGAATAGAGCCCATCGCAGGACGTGTAAGACTGTCCAGCCTTCAACTACTAGGGTTGAAAACCACTTGCTTTCTGCAGAAATGTAAATGAAAGGAATTGGCTGCAGGCTGTTTTTGGCCTGTATTTCCCTCTCTATAGCTGGAATAATTAAGTTCTCTAATCTTAAACATCTTTTTATGGTAAAATACACATATTATGTATATGGATAAATATTTATAACACCAGTTCACTCGTCTTTGAACTGATACATAATGAGAAGGAAAAAAAATTCTCTTCCCCACAGAGAACTGAGTACTGCTTTAAATCTATATGTACGGTATATGATATATTACATGTATTCCTAACTCCTTCCTATCTGGTATAGTGTTTGAAGTATGATTAAATGTACTTATGCTTGGGCAAAATAGCTTTTGAAAACAGGTGCTCATGTCAGAAGTCGCTGGTTGTCTGAAAGGTAGGCTTTATTCAGTTTAACAGCGTTGTTGCAATCTGGTGAGAATGTCATGCTAATAATAGAATACTTTAAAAACGTTAAAAGAATGTCCTAATGAAGTGTGCATGAAACATGTTGATAACTGCTTGTGAGAGCAGAAATAAATCATTTCAAAAGTTGTCAGAAACCTATTCATGCCATCGTGTTTTCTGCAAGGTTGTGTTAAGATGCAACTCCCAGACCTTTAACTGCCTGTAACTCTGAAGTGTCTGCTGGTACCGTCTTAACTTCTCCAGTTTGTATAACAGTGCTGCAAGCTATTTGGGTTTTACCTCTGCCTGTTCCACAGCACATGACTGGTGAACCTTCACCAAAGCCACCCTGCGTTTGATTCTCTGGGTGGGTTGCTGGTGACGGTGCCCCAACTGTGCCAAGAGCCTGTTGTGCCTGTGGCTCCTTGGGGTCGAGGACCTCTTCCCCCTTCTTAGATCTTTGTCTGGAAATGAGTAATGCCTTAAAAGCATGCGTAGTCCTAATCATCTCATCCTGTGTTTGTGATTGATGTTTGCCTGCCTAAATGTACAAACCACCACTGTGTCCAAAGCACAGCTATTCATGACTTAATTTTCTAATCCCACCACAGAGAAAGTGGCTCATGCCAAGGAAGAAAACCTTAGCATGCATCAGATGCTGGATCAGACTTTACTGGAGCTAAACAACATGTGAAAACCTCCTTAGCTGCGGCCACATTCTTTCATTTTGTTTTGTTGTTTTGTTTTGTTTTTAAACACCCGCTTACCGTGAAACTCCTTAAACGCATTTTTGTTTACTTTTACCACTGTCACAGAACAAAGTACCGGCTAGAGCAGGGGTGGGGAAACACAAAGGCAAGCCTATGTCAGGGCTAGAATGGTTTAAATGTGCCATTTCCCAGGGCGATGTTGCCACACTTCGTAGAGTTTAGCCACACAGTTTGCTTAATCCGTATAGGAATCCTCACTGAAGCAGAAAGATTTCCAGTCAAAGTGCCAACAATAAGGGCAACAGGAAGATGGAGGTTGGAGACACAATCAGGTGTGGATTGGTGCTACTTTGAACAAAAGGTCCCCGTGGTCTTTTGTTCAGTATCGTACAATTTAGAATTCTGTCCAACACTAATTTATTTGGCTTACTACGAGATGAGACTTTGGATCCCAGATAACTGCATTCACTAAAGCCAAGGGTTCGACAGCCATGCTGCTCTTTGGAAGACTCAGCGTCCTTTTTGACTGGCACACTTGCAGCTCATTACGACTGTAGAGTAGAATTCCATGTGGGTTTCCACTCTTTGCAGATCTCCATGTTAAAGTGAAAGATTGAGGCACTACATAAAATTTGGTGAAGAAAAAACATTTTCTTAAGAATTATAACTATATGTAAACATTGTATAATGATATGGAATAAAATGCACAGTTTAGGACATTTTCTAAATCCGGTGGTCCTGTCGTTTGTATGTTTTTACTTCTCGAACTTGAGACTGCGTCAGATGGACCTCCCAACCTCCACTCAAGGTCTCTTCAAATGGTACGTGGAAAACTGGCTCTCAGGTGTTACCCTCACCGAAGCACTATTGGTCTTGCAAAGTTAATTCTTCAGTAGTGGCGTATGTACACACCAACCAGGTGAATTATGTATCAGATTTGCTCTTGTCCCTGGGCACTTTGGTTCTACTTAAATGGAGCTTTGTGATGTTTCTGTTTTCTAATTCATATGAGTTCAAACTTTCAGGGTGTCTTCATTTTCATACTTCAGTTTCATATCCTAGCCATCGATTCCCTGGTTCTTGAAGACAACGAGCACACACAAGTAAAATATACACACTAGTAGCTGACTTAAGTTGTGCTACAGGGAGGACAAAAAAGGTACCAAAAGTAAACAAGAGTAGAATGGGAATAAACTCACTGGCGTGCAAGTGTGATGTTTTTAGGCAAAAGTACGAAATATCTACCTGTTCTTTGTGTGCTTTTAATCATCTGTCTTCTCTGCAGGAAGACAAAAGTTTAAGGCAGAGAACCCAGGAGGAGTCTGGGAGCATGGCTTCTAGGCCCCCTTTCCAGTAAGATGTCCCCTTGCCCAAGGCAAATAAGTGCTATAGGTCTCAACTTTACCACCTGTCACCAGCCCTGGTTTGCCTTCCCGGTCCTCATGTGGGGAAAGAAGGGTCTTGGCTTCCCTGCAGTTGCAGAAGCCTTTCCCAAACCCAGCACTTGTACTTTGGGAACCAGATTTCACTCTGGCCAGGACTCTACCTGTCAAGACCCTCAGTCTAGGTTGCTATGGTGGGACCAAACTGTAGCCCATGCACAGTACAGTGCCAGACACAAGAGTGTGTTTGTAAATATCAACCATGGTGTCCTCTGCATACACATACTCCAGAGACCACATAGGGGGTATTTGATTCCCATTTGCCCCAAGCTAGGATGATAGTAATACTCAGCATTTATATATGAGCTGAGTCTGTATTCACAAGTGACATTTTTTTTTCTTTTCTCTAGATTTACCCCAGTAC